GACTTTGTTTCTATGACCCGATCATGCTGGACCTGTCACCTGGTTTCATGTGCTCTTACCTGATATCTCTGTCTCTTTGCCAGTACTGGGGGCTAAACTCAGTACATAGCTTCCTCACCTTTGTGGTTTTTTAAGATAGGTCTCATAATATAGTTCAGGCTGACCTTGAACTCTCTTTATTGCCTACGCTGGCCTAAACTCACAGTGATTTTCCTGCCTCAGCTTCCTTAGTGCTAGGATTACAGACCTGTGCCACCAAACCTAGCTTTTTGACATTTTATTTTGAGACAGGGTTTCAATGTGTCTCTGAGTTGCCAGGGCTAACTCTAACTTGAGATACTCCTGCCTCAGTCTCTTAAGAGTACTGAGTTTACAGGGATGTGACATTATAACGAGCACTTTTTGAGGGTGTCTTTCAAGGGAGGGGTGCTTGCCCTCAAAGCCAAGTACAAGACTGTATGAAAGATCCTGCATTCCTCCCATTGGGACTCATCCTCCAGGACACAGGCCTCCATCTCTAACCCAGGAATCTTTTGCCAGCGTGCACATGGCTGCCACAGGCTCACACAGCTTGCAAGTGTAGCAAACACACAGTTTCAGCTGCCCCTCAGCCACTGTGCCCCGCTCTGCAGCAGCCCTAACTTCCTGTGTTTCTCCTACACAGAGAGAGGTTTCCCACCACTCTGGCTCCGCTGGCCTGTCCAAGGTCATCTGACTGCTGTTTTCTGAGCAAAGCTTGCTGAATAGGTCACCCATTCCACTCTCAGCTCAGATCACTCCACCTGACAACTCTGCCACTTCATTGACACCAGGGACTTCCACCTTGCTAAAACTGGGAGTTACTCCAGAAGGCTGAGACAGGAGGATCACTTTAGTTCGAGGCCACACTGGGCTACACAGTGAGTTCAAGGCCAGCCTGAGTTACAGAGTGAGACGCTGTCTCAAAAAACCAAACCAAACCAAACCAAACCAATCTATCATGTCTCTGTCCTGACCTGCTATAGTTTAAATCTAAAATGGCCTCCAAAGCCTCATGTATTTGGAAGGTGACTTGATTATAAGGCTCATGGCTGACCTGCTGTCAGGAGATGGGGTCAGGATGCTACAGCTCCTTTCCCAGCATCCCCCTTCTCTTTCTGCTTCCTGGCTGCCCTGGGATAAGCAGTACTCTGCTATAACCCTCTGCTTTGGGGCCAACTGACTACAGATGGAAACCTCTACAAACTGAGAGCCAGAATAAACTCCTCTGTCAGGGTGCAGGTGCCATCCCAGTACTCAGGAGGCTGAGACAAGAGTATCTCTGCTGGTTGGAGGCCAGTCTGGGCTGTGAGTTCAAGATCAGCAAGACCTTGTTTCAAGAAAACCATAAAAAAGGATGCAGGTATCATTTCTGAGAAGGAAACACTTGATTTCCCTGCAGAATTCCACACAGTTGATCACTCTTTCCCTCTTTACAACTTGGTTGTAAGATATACACAAAGCACACAGAACACATGTGTATCAAACGTAATTTAAGGACCAATAAAAAGTAACGTAAACAATAAAACAAACTCCTGTGCTCCAGCTCAGGGCACCTCTACCAGGCAGGAAGTTCCTCTCAGGCCCAGACCCCTGCCTGCACTGTATAGCTGCTCTTGTGCTGCACAGCCTGGGCCTGGCTCTCCGGCCTCCTGGTACCCTGCTGCCACTACTACCCTACACCCACTCTGCACCCAGGCTGCAGCTGGCCTGTAGGGTGAGAGGCTGGGGTGACAGTGTGGCAGGGTGCCTGTGTGTGCCCTTCATACCCTGGGTGCAGGCAGACTTCCGGGCTGGGGATCACACACCATGCTCCCTTCTCCTGGGTGAGTCCTGGGCCTTGTCACCTATTTTCTGAGTTCTGTGAGTTTATGACTCTGATTTCAACATCACCCAGTTTGATGAAGCCCAAGCAGTTCTGTGGTGTCAGTGCCCAGTGTATTGCTGGGCCCCTAAGCTCCCAGGTGAGGAACACTACCTTCCTGCCATCACACAAGCACAGCGAGACACATCCCTCACCCACCTGGGCTTTGGGCTGTGACAGTGACATCTAAGAGCTCGGATACTGGCTCATCAGAAACACAGGCTCATATTCAGGCTCATGTGCTTTCAGTGTGAGCAGCTGAGACCTTAAAAAGTGTCCCATATGACGGCATCTGTTAAAAATCAGCATGGAAGAAAAAATTACCCAAAAAACTACAATGAGACATTTGGAAAGTGAAAAGGATAAACAAAGCAAACTTAGATATCCTTCTATTTACCGGCCACCAGCCCTTAATAGCTCAGACTCCAAAGATGCCAATGGAAATAAAGAGAAATACAGATGTTATGTATTTAAGAAGCCTGTGTACAGCAGGCTGTGGTGCACACGCCTGCAATCCTAGCACTTGGGAGGGTGAGGCAGGAGGATCACTGTAAGTTTAAAGTCAGCTGGGCTACATCATGAAACCGTGTCTCAGAAACAAACAAATAAAAATTGGTGGGACTAATGAGAAGCAGTATGAGACTTAAAATTTTAAATATATCGAAGTGTTATATGCACTGGTGAAAGTATCACAATGCGATCTATTCCGTGTAATTAATATGTGCTAATAAAAATATTTTACACTGGAGTAACCAACAGAAGAATAAAAATAAAGAGTGTAGTTTAAAAACTGGCAAAGAAAATGGAAAACATGACCTAATAGAAAAAATATATAAAAAAGAAAATACAAAGTAAGACGCTAGCAAGCCAGGGAATGTAGCTTAGTGGCACAAGCACCTGCTTGGCAAGCGTGAGGTCCTGAGTCCGATCCCTGGTTCAAAAAATAAATAAATAAAAAAGATGCTAGCAAAAAAAAAAAAAATCATTAACATGTGAGACCTCACAATAATGAGACTGTATCAAACCATCTAAGAAGGGCCAAGGATGCGGCTGAGTGGCACAGCGCATACTGGGCTGGCAGGTGCGCCACCACAGCACAGCATGGGCATTTCTCAGGTCACATTCACCAGAACACAAGGTGGGTTTCTGACCTGAGGAGGCTTCGTGCCTCTCTTGTTCCTCCTGAAATTATCCAAAAGAAAGCGGAATAAGGAAGAGAAAAACAAGACTGCAGACTCCATCTTCATGGAGACCTAGAGCTAAAATCCCAGAGAGCGGTGGGCGGTGAGCGTGCAGACAGGGAGGGCGCGCGGTTCCCCAGGCCTGTGTGGCCCTGCGGTTTGAACCCGGGATGCTTTACACAAAAGCACTTTCCCCAGCCTCTTCTGCTTTTAAGTTTTGAGGCTCAGGCTCATTAAGTTGCCCTGGCTGGCCTGGAACTTGGATCCTCCTGCCTGGGCTTCTCAAAGATCTGGGACCTCACGACCCATGCTGCGCCCTGTCGGCCCCACCGCCTTCACTGCAAGGCTGCAGGCGGTGGGGAGGGGGCGGGGCGGGGCGGGGCGGGGCACGAGCCGCTAGGTCCGTGCGCGCGTGCGTAGAGGCCGTGGGCGACCCACCCCGTGCGTCCGCTAGCCAGAAGACCCCAGTTCTGCTTTTCGCGTCCCGCACCAACTCCACGTATAGTGGGTCAAGCAGGGGGAACGGAGAAATACAATACTGCGAGAAAACATAAAAAAAAAAAAACGAGCAAAACGAAAGGAAATGCTCTACGCCAAAGCAACTCCCCGCAGAGGGGCCGGCGTGGGCTGCGGGCAGCCAAGGAGGGTGGAGCACAGGGACCCGGACCTGGGCGCGGGATGGACCGGGAGAGAGCTGCTGAGCCCCTGTCAGCCCGCGATGATCCCTTGCTTCAGAACCGACGCCTGGCCTGGCAGGCTGGGCTGAAGCCCAGGATAGCGTTCCTTCCACCATCCGTGTCCTGCAATGAGCAGAGCTGTGCATCGGGCCTCCGGAACTAGGGCCAGGGAGGCCACAGCCGGATGCCCGCGGGGCGGGATCCACTCTGCGGGGCACTGAAGCTCCCCTCCCCTCCCCTCCTTGGAAGCAGCAGCCTGGCCCTTGCATGGACGCAGTTATTTATGTGGTCTCCCTTCCTGCCCTCCGGGAAAGTAACACTGGAAGGGTCCGGTCTTTTCAGTGTCTTCTCTGTGAAACCAGCCTCTGCTCAGTTCCCTGGAGCTTGTTTTAAGGAATGATGTGTGGCCTGATTCTAAGCCTGAAAGTAAATCTTTAAATTTTTGTAATTTTGTCCTTCAACAGTCAGAAGGTAAATGTAGTAATCCTAGGAAAACTAACACTAGAGTTTTGGTGCGAGGGGCTTGGAGAACCAGGCAAGCTGAGTCTAGAGACTGTATGGAAAAAATAAAGGTGGCAGGCGGGTGCGCATCTGTGGTCCCAGCACTCAGAAGGGTGAGGCAGAAGGATTGCTGGGAGTTTGAGACCACCCTGAACTACATGAGGTCCTAGCTCAAAAACCAAACCCAAAGCCAAAAATAGGTAAATGAGAACAAGTAGGAAGATTCTGAGGAGGAAGTGTACAGAGGAGGGCCTAGGTCAGCCAACATGAAGGAGGTCATGAAGCATAATAATTCACATACCACAGCGCTGCTGCTGGGCAGAAAGAGGCGAGTGGGGCATACACAGTCAGACCCACACTGCCTGAAAGCAGCGTGACAGGGAGCACGCTTTCAGACAAGTGTGACACATGGGCTCTTCAGTGGGTGCTGGGACATCTTAATAGCTACCCAAGGTAAAAGTTTGGTTCCTAGTTCCAGCTGCTCAAGAGACTGAGGCAACAACACAACTGAGGGAAGACCATATCTCAAGTCTCAAATACATTGATTAAAAACTGGGCTGTGGGCTGGGGTGGTGGCGCAGCCTGAGCTACACAGTGAGACCCTATCCTAAAAACAAAAAATGAAACAACAACAACAAAAAAAATGGGCTGGTGGTGTAGCTCCCTGTGAGAGTGCTACCCTAGGACCCTCCAGGTCCTAGGTCCAATCCCCAGTACTGGGGGTAAAAACCAAAGCAGAACTAAGGGAAACATTTGCAATTTTTGGCTTAGAAAAGACTTAAATTTCATTATATAGAATTACCCCTGGAAATGAGTAAGAAACATAATGGCCCTGTATGCAAATGGGCAGATAAAAAGATGAAAAGATACATAATCTGCTAACAGACATAACAATGTCACCTATCAGACTGGCAGTGAGCAAGGTATTGGACCCTGCTGGAGAGGGTTTGGAGGAGGTGGCTGTGGGAATAGACCAGAGCAGGTTCAGGGAGGCCAATTAGACCACAGCTGCTACATTTATGTGTGTGTGTGTGTGGGGGGGGTTGTTTTGTTTTGTTCTTTTCGGTGCTGGGGATCAGAGCCAAGGTTTAGCGTCTACCATTGGCTACAGCCCCAGCAAGCAATATGGTTTGACAAAGCAGACACTCCTTGGCGATCTTTTCCTTTCGAAAAGTGTGTCACAATATTGTCTCAGCTGGCCTTGAACTCAGTGATGCTCCTGTCTTAGCTTCCCAAGAGCTGGGACCAGGTGTTCACCACAGCGCCCAGCATCCCAGCACCTGACTAAGAATTTTCACACACGTATGTTCTGTGCATGCACTGTGGCGCATGTTCGGCCTCCTCACTACCTCTTTATCCATGATGGGAAGAAATGGGAAGACGCTGACAGCCTGGTGGTGGAGAAGATGAGAGGAGGGTGTGTCACAGAATGTGCCACGGAATGTGCACTCTGGGTAGGATGCAGGCTGGACTCCAGGTCCACGTGTGGTATCTCTGGCTGCTGCTTTGAATCAACTTTTCCCCTGTACACTCCTGCTGCTGCACACTGTCCCCTGTGGCTCCCTGAATGGGTCCTTTGAGTAGATTTTCCAGAAAACGTTGCGATGACCACCAGTGCAGACAGAGTGGTAGCCTGTGGGTGTCCTGGCCTGGGACTTAGGGGACAGAGTAGAGCCTCAGGCAGCTCAGCAGAACCACTCACAGTGTACCCTCCCTCTCCAGAGAGGAAGCTGATGCTGTTCTAATGTGTACCCAAGGGATGAGGTGCCTGGTCTGGTTTCTGTCTTGCAGCACCCATGCGACCTGCATGTGGCTGAAACTACAGCTCCAGAGAGCAAGGGGCAGAAAGGACGCCCATGGTTGATGGTGTCATTCAAGCGGGGTTGTCACATGTCCCTACGCTTTACCTGCTGTGGCAGCTGCCCAGCAGGCCACTCTCTCCTACCTGGAGTGGAGTCATTCTGGGAGGGGAGGCCAGAAGGGCTGGAGCTCAGGTCTAGCAACTTCCAGGTATCCTGCAGGGAGTGGCTGGTCAGGGAGGACGAGCCAAGGCTCTCGTGGCCATTTTCCTCAGGGGCTGCTTGTGCCTGAGGTGGCTTTGGAGCCCGGTTTTCTTTCTGATGCCTTGATTTGCAGGTGGGAACTCTGTGTTGCTTCTGTAACAGGCATAAGGGACGGAGTCATCCTTGAAAGCCACCTCCTTCTCCTCCTACCATCTGCCCCTGGCGACACAGCTTAGAGACAGGCCAGGCTGTAGGGGATTGGAGGTGTCCAGAAGAGTGGGTCCTGGCCCGAGCTGAATGTTCAAGGGTGAAGTGAGTCTTAGCCACTTGGAGTGGAAGCGCTGCGGTGGGCATGCTCAATGCTGCTGCCTGTATCCCTCCCCTGATGCAAATGCCATTGGTTTTGTTGCCCCACTCTAAATGAGGCACCCAGGGACACTACAATGACAGTTATTCATGCCACAATACCTGTCCCACTCAGCTTCCTATGCTTCTCATGTTCGAGTGTGTACCACACCTAGCACTGACAGTTGCCCCATTGCAACCAGGTGTACCCCGACACAGCAGGCTGCATCTGAGCCACCACTTTACCTGCATGGGCCCGGCCGTGGAGCCTCTCATGGCATGGTTTCTGCTGACCGGCTGTGTTGAGCAGGGCTGGCTCCTTCTCCCACTGCCAGGAACATACTCTGTAGCAGGGAGCTTCAGGTCCTGTTGTGGGAATTCATAGGAGAGGAGTTCAGTACTCACATCCTCCATTATATCTGTCAGTGAGCTTTCCATGAGGGCAGGAAGAAATGCATTTCTGCATCTCCAGGATTAGAGACTGGGGACAGGTCCCAAGGAGGGCACAGGTCTGCCCAATCAGCCAAGGTGCACTCAGCAGTGTCCTCCTGTTGACCTAAACATCTCCCAGAGCCTCCTGAAGAGTCCATGCTGCAGGCCCCAGGCCCTAGGCTCCAGACCCATGAGGAGCTACAGGTCCCACACTTACACACAATCTGGGGCTGGGCAGGAGAGTCCATGAGGCAGCTTCCTCTCTCCTCCTTGGCCCCTCCTCACACCCTTGGGTGTCTGAGCACCCCTGGCCTATTTTTCTCCTATTTGTCTTTTTCTTACAAGTCTGTAGGAGTTCATCTCTACATACCTTATCCACTTCATATGTGGTACCATTTACTACTAGAGATTAACAGGAACCAACAGCTGGCCCCAGGGGAATCTTTTCTGAATGTAATAAACAGGATGGTTTTGTAGTTTGGAAGAGATTAATAAAGTTTAATATGATGTTTAATATAGTAGAAGGATGTAGAGGTCCAGATAGATGCACTAACATCAAAAAATACAATGTTTACATTCTACCTCAAAAACCAAACAGAATTGCCAGGGATTTAGCTCAGTGGCAAAAGCACCTTCCTGGCAAGCATGAAGTTGTGAGTCCGATCCCCAGTGCAAAAAACAAAACAAAACAAAGAAACAGAAAGTGGTAAGGGTGGTGGAATGTTTATTTAAAGCCAGTGAAAATGCAGTATTCTGAAATAAATTGAAATGCTTTAAACATTCGCCATATCTGTTGATCACCCCTGTACGTTCTACCACAGTGGACAAGTGGTACACTTATCTGATGATTTGGGGCTACTTTTAGGGGTCTACGTAGTGATTGTGTGTGGCCCGGTCACACTGGGGAGACACTCCCGTGGTGAGCTGTAGTCCAGGGGAGGGTGCCCTAAGTGTAGGAAACAGCCAGCACGGCTCTCCTTGAATGTAGAACAGTTGCTTCAGCGAGTCCTATTTCCTGGTCTGATGTGTACACAGCCGGCTATGGCACTTCCCTTTATCTTTAATTGGCTTTATACAATGCAAATAAGGCTCCCTAGGGTACCCACATGTGATCCTTAGAACCAGCTGATAATTTCCTGTTTCCTCACATGTGTGTTCCTGTAAAAGCATTCAACACAGCGGGATGGCAGAGCCAGTCAGCTCCAGAAATGTCAACTGGATACGAGCCTTAAAATAAAAGGCTACAAATTTCCCAGAGCACAAAAGTTTACATAACAAAAACTGAAACAACAGCCTCCTAAATTCACTCATACACTGTCCCAGTTGAGTTATGCAGACAGGCCCTTCTGCATATCCCTGTACCCTGCAGAGGTGCTTGCTCTCTGCCTGGCCAGCTCAGGCATCGTGCTCACATGGTTCCCACCTTCCCCATTGTCATTTATCCTCGAGCCACTCCTTTCATGAGATGATAAATTCTGAGAGATCTCACTTGGGTCACACTTAGTACCCCGCAGCTGCCCATAACGTTCAATATGTCTTGGTGTCTTAACTCTTGCTGTGGGTTGCTTTGGAGGTGACAGATTGGAATTAACCTGCTAGAATTCCACTAACATTCCTATGGAATTACAAATATAACTTTCTGGATTGTGAGGTGGACTAAAAAAGGGATTATAATACTCAGCAGGGTTAGTGCCGAGGCCCAAGGGGAGAGGGTGGAGCAGTGGTTTCTTGGGGACTCTGCTGCAGGGGCGCAGGGAGCCTGCATGCTGTGTGTGCAGCCTTCTGGGTTGGCCCTGTTGCCGTGACCTCATGGCACCGCTTTGGCCTTAGCCCTACAGCCAGCATCCTCCTTCCCAGATGCCTCCTGCTGAGGTTCCTTGGCAGGGAGTGAGGCCTGTGGGATATCCTTGGGTCCTGGGCCACCTTCTTGGGCAATCCCTTCTCATTTTCCTCCCCTGTCCAATAACTGACCTCCATGGGCCTCTGCTCTTCTCACTGGGGTGTTTCCTGGGTGACACGACTCTATCCAAAGACTCTGGCTCTCCTGGGCCCCTGCTGGCTGTGTGGCTGCTGGCTGGGCTTAGCCTGGATAGAGGACTGGACCTTGTCTGGCTACCCTCCTACCCTCTTCTTCCCCAGCTGCCCAGCCCAGACCTGGATGTCTTTTCTCCATGTTCCTGTTTTCTTTTCTCTCACATTCCACATCCTGTTCTGGTGTACTGGGGGCTTATGCCCAGAGGCTCACATATACCGGGCAACTTTGTTCCCTGGTCTTTTTATTCTGAGACAGGCTCAAATCTGAAATCCCGCACAGCCTCCTGTGCAGCTAGGATCATGGATGTGTGAGACTGAGCCCTCCTACCATTAAGCTACACTCCCAGCCCTGATTATTAGCAGTTTAAAACCACACACACACATGCACACATGCCACAGCAGTGGGAGCTCTCCCCATGGCAACAGCGGCAGGCCCAGCACACCCCTGCTGACGGTCACGAGGCTACCTCAAGTGGAAGGTGGCTCTGAATCAGAGTGGTCATCACTGGGGGCAGAAGTGACCTGCTTGGGTGGCGGAGGAGGGACTTCTCCATGCTGATAAAAGGCCTCACTGAGGTTGGAGGACCTCAAGTCACTGGCATTTCCCTTTTGGCCATGGTGGATTGGAACCATGGGTTCATGCATGCTAAGTACACACTGTACCACTGAGTTACATCCCAGCCACTGGCCATTTTTAAATGACAAAAATGGCAATTTTATATGGTTTAACATAACCAAACCTATTGCAAACCTTGTACTTGAGGGAAAAATGTGGGACCTACCTCTCCAAACCCAGTGAGAGCAGTGGCACCAATCAGCCTTCACGGGGAAAGATGGGGCCTGGCCAAGGTGGCAGCATGGGCACTGTCCCAGCCACGCTGACATCCACCTGTGAAGCCTGCCCACCCATGAGAAACAGCTGGCACATCCACTGTGAATTACATTGTGCAGCAGAGCTGTTGGCCATAGAATCCCTGGATACAAATGCTCAGGGCTTGTGTTTAAGTGTCCCCCCGAAGCCTCATGCAGTCATAGAGGCAGATTAACCTAGCATTTGTGATTGGTTTATTGTCTAGTGCTGGGGTTGGTGGTGTGAATGCTGTACTCACCCAGGGGCAGGAGCCAGCACACAATGTAAGGGGGAAGGAGGGGTGTTCCTCCCCTTTTACCCTTTTCACTCTTGTCACTTTGGCTGCCATAAAAGGTTCTCCTTAACCACGCCACCCTGCCTTGGTACCAGCTGAGTATAAACTAAAACCTCCAAAAACTGTAAGCTAAATAAACCTTTTCTTCCTTCATTTTTTGGGCATCAGGAATTTTGTTGTAGTAACCAGAAAAAAATAACCAAGACACAAGCCCATTCTGTTCCTAAAGACCCTGAACAGTTTGAAAATATAACTTTGAAAAGATCAACCTTTGAGGGCCAGGGATTTAGCTCAGCACTCAAGCACTTGCCTGGTCAGCACAAGGTCATGAGTTTGATCCCCAGTATCAAAACAAAACAAAACAAAACAAAACAAAACAAATCGACCTTTGAATAAACTGTACAGCATCTACCAGATGGAATGTAATTCAACAATAGAAAGCAATGAGGTGCCAGAGGTGGTGGTGCACAGTCATAATCCCAGTATCAGGAGGCTGAGGCAGGAGGATCACTTGCTGTGAGTTCCAAGCCAGCCTGAGTTACACAGTGAGTTCAAGGCCAGTCTCCTGAACTACATAGTAAGACTCTGTCTCAAAAAAACAAAACTAAACAAGTAAGAGCTACCGCACCACAACACATGGAAGAACCTAGACAGACCATACTAAAGCAAAGAAGACCGAGAAGCTGCTGTGCTGTGATTCTATCTAAGACAGCACAGAGGAGGCACAGCCAGGGACACAGTGGGGAATAGGTGGTTGCCAGGGCTGGGGCCGGGAGCTGCAGGGCCAGTGGAGGGGGGCAGCAGGGGTGGGGTTGCACAGGCACATGTGTCCTGCACGGCTCATGCCGCCTTCAGGTGCTCAAATTCCCGGGCCTCTCTGGGAGCTTGGGCTCCACTGTGACCTGGCTCACGAGCTGTCAGCAGCCCACACACACAGTATGCCCGTGACAGGACTAAAAAGGGAAGGCGAGCCTGCACTTTCACTAAGTGGGTCTGCAAAACTAAAAAGCAATCTATTCTTTAAAAATTCTATTGATTCTTTTGAAAAATTATTTAATACTTAAGTAATATTTCTCAACTTTTAAAAATTTAATTTATTCTTTTCTTTTTTTAGCCCTTGGAAGAGGGGACTGAACCCAGGGCCTTCTCACTGAGTGACATCCTCAGCCCATTTTATAAAAATTTTGAGATAGAGCTGGGAATATAGCTCAGCAGCACACATGCCTGCCTTGCAGGCGCAAGGTCCTGAGCTCAATTCCTGGTATAAAAAAATAAAATAAAACTTTGAGACAAAAATATTACTAGGTCACTAAGTTGCCCCAGCTGGGCTTGAACTTGCCATCCTCCTGCCTCAGCCTCTAGACCCCTGGGGTTACAGATGAGCATCACTATTACCTAATGGTAATATAGGCGACTGCTCTGTTGACCTGTGAAATGATCTCTGTGTCACAGACTGTAAAGGGCCTCTACATTTTAAGGGCATAAACTAGTAGTTTCAGACTGTCATTTGATAATGTCTAATGAAAGTTAAAAGGCACACAGCTGAGACCCAGTTTTGGGAACCCTGTGCAGATACATGAAGATGCTCATGACAAGGATCACAGCAGAACACTGGAGCCCTAAGCACCGGTCAGTATGAGAGTGGACAAGAGTTCGCTGTGTTCCCATAGCAGGAAGAATGCACAGAGCTGCACATGGCAGCACACACCTGTATCCCAGAAACACTCTGGGAGGCCGAGGCAAGAAGACCGCAAGTCCAAGCCCAGCCGGGGCAGCTCAGTGATACAAAGAGACCTTGGCTCAACAAGTTTTAAAAAGAGCTGGGGGTGTAGCTCACTGAAAAGGCCCTGGGTTCAATTCCTAGTCCAGAAAAACAAACTAAAATAATCCTAGTCATTCAGGAGGCCAAGGCCAAGGCAATTAATCGGACCCTGTCTCAAAATGAAATTTTAAAAATTGGGCTGGAGATATAGCTCGGTACTCCCTGGGTTGCATAACAGTTCATAGACCAAATCCGAACATCACCATTTTATTTTATTTTACTTTTTGTATAGCCCATGAGCTTAAAAAATAGCTTATTTTATGTATTTTTTAATTTGTAGGGAAGGATTGAGACAGGATCTAGGCTGGTCTCAAATTCCTCTGTGTACCACCATACTCGTCTAATATAAGCAAATTTTTATTAAATATGCCAATCTTTTTACATATTCTATTGGTAAAGATCTAAAAATAATGCCCTGTAAGCAAAAGTAGAGTAGACTATATGCATGATATAACTAATAACTTTAAAACAGCAGGAAATACATCGGGATGTTACTGGTTACTATGCTGGACACTGAAAACCAGAGATATTTTATATTGGAACTACTGAAGATCAAGCATGGTGGCACATGCCTGTAATCCCAGCACTTAAAAATGCTGAGGCAGGAGGATTGATGTGAATTTGAGGCCAGTCTGAGCTACACAAGGAGTTCAAATCCTGCCTATCTCAAAACCTTATCTCAAAAAAACTAAAAAACAAATTTAAAAAAACCCCTTATAGTTTGAAATTTCTGTTATGAAAATGTAACACTGTCAGCAAAGTTACTTGAAATGTATCTGTCAGATGGCAGCGGTTACCTGGGCTGCTGGATGAGGCTGCAAATGTCCCAGAGGCTCCCAGGGCTCAGTGGGTGCATCACTTGGGTCCCGGGTCTCACGCCTGGGGCTGGGAGGAAGACGACAGCGAGGTGGTCCTCCTGAAAATGAGATCAGAAAGGCTCTTCTCCCCCTACATTTTGCTTCTGGGTTTACCTTGCTTGGAACATACTCAGGAGTAAAAACAAGTTCTTCCCCAGCAAAGCTGGGGCAGGGTCAAGTGTGACCCAGGAGGGACATGGCTCCCTGAAGCCACACAGACCCTGAAGCTGTCAGGGTGGCCGGAATGGACAATGTGTCAGGGGACTGGAGGTGCAGCCTCCCGTAACGTGGGGAAGCATGGGGCAGCTGGGCTGTGTGGCACACGCCTGGGATCCCTACCACCTGCAGGCGAAGCAGGAGGGTCACTGAAGCCCAGGAGTTCAGGGCCTGCCTGGGCAGCGCAGTGCAATTCTGCCAAAAGAAAAAAATCACCAAAAAGACAGAATTATTGCTAAGGCAACATGTCCCAGAGCAATGGATCAACTTGGTTAAACTACTGAGGACTCCAGAGAGTTCTAGAGGGGTGGCTGATAACTATCGCCCCGCTGGCTCCAGGATCTGGTTCTGCCCTTGGGCCCTGAGTCAGTTTTCTGGGCCAGGCATGTAGCTTAGAGGCACAGTGCCTGCCTGGCAAGTGAGAGGTCATGTGTTTGATTCCTGGTACCAAAAAAATAAAATAAGTCAGTTTTCTCCACATAGTAAAACACAAAATTTGGAACTCACCTTATTTTCCTTAGTTTCTAATACCTGAATTTAAAAGTTTCACAATCAGTAGCTGAGTGTGCCAACATACTTGAACCCTCAGTTGCTTGAAAGGTTGAGACAGGAGGATGATGAGTTTCAGCCCAGCCTCATAGTAGGGCAACATAGAGAGGCCTTGCGTCAATATTAAAAATAAGCGAAGTTTGGTGGTGCCCAGCTATAATCCCAGCACTCTGGGCGCTGAGCAGGAGGATGGTTGCGAATTTGAGACCAGCCTGGATTACAAAGTGAGACCCTGTCTCAAAAAGATGAAACAAAACAAAAACATTGCAAATAAAAAGGACCGGTTGTAGCTCAGTGGTGACGCTTGCTTAGCATGCTTGAGGCCTGAAGTTCTATCCCCAGCACAGCACACAGAAAGGAAAAGAAAAGAAGAAAGGGAAAGGGAAGAAGGAAAAAAATAAAATTACTAAACAAGCACGAATACGCATTAGACATTAAACCCAAGAAATCAGGAAAATGATAAACTCAAAAAGGAAAGTATCAGAAAGATGACATGGAAACTGCCAGCCACCCAAGAGCCTGCCCAGTGGTCTCAGCTGTCACCTGAGGGACCCTGGAAAGTGGCCAAGAGGGAAGCACAGCAGCCGCCCACTGTGGGCCCTAAGTGACCCAGGGTAGACTAGAACAAGACGGGAAGAAGCAGTGGTGGAAGAAATAATGGCTGAAGTTTCTCCATCTTTCTTTCTTTTTTATTTTTTCCTTTTGAGACAGGGTCTCACCATGTAGTCCAGGCTGGCCTCAAACGCATGAAGATCCTCCTGCCTCAGCTCTCAAGGGCTGAGATTACAGGCATGGGCACGGTACCTGGCTTTCATTTTTCAAGTATGGAAAAACAGCTGGTTGTGGTGGCACACACCTGTAATCCCACTGCTTAGGAGGCTGAAGCAGGAGGGTCGATGTGAGTTTTAGGTCAGCCTGAACTATACAGGGAAACCCTGTCTCAAAAAAAAAAAAAAGGAGAAACAAACATCCTTCCTGTCCCTGTCCCCCAGTACCCTGAGACCAGACCTACACAACTGGACAGGGCCCTGGTACAGACCCTAGGACGCAGGCAGGGGAGAAGGTGCACAGGCTGGGAGGGCAGCCTGTCCACCAGGGCCAGGGATGGACCATGTCAAGTGCTGGGAACCTCCTCTCTCTGAGCAGCTGTTGGAAAATGCAGCTGAGCGACTTTCTAGACAGCACCTAGAACAAAACCATCCAGGCCTAGGAAGTGCAGGGCCAGTTCTCTCCTGCAGGTTCTTCTCCCAGCCAGCAAGGCAGAGGCCTAGAGGAAGGCGGGGCCTCCAGGGAGCAGGGGCGCCTTCAGAACAAAGCCTCCTGCTGGTAGCTGCCATCCCAGCCCGTGGCTGCCACTGAAGTCAAACAGCAAACCTGGGGACAGTGCTGTCAGCTATTCATAAAATCCAATGTCCTGCTAATATTACTTCTGCACTGACAGGAAGGTTGCCATAGGATAGGTCGTTGTAATTCACAAGGTGAATGGACACAGATATTTCACACCCAGTGCGCAGAACCGGTGCAACCGGCTCGTTGTGTACTCACTGGGGAAAACTAAGCTAGATCCCCAATACACTTTTTTCTTAAACCTAATTATTTCCAGATGAATCAGGTCAGCAAGGAAATAATATAATGAAATACAAATGGCAAAAAATTTAAAGAAATTTAAAGTACTGGATAACAATGAAATATTTTTACTTTTTTTTTCTCTCTCTTTTTAGGTTTTTGAGACAAGGTCTTGCTGTGTAGCCCAGGCAGGCCTCAAAATCATAGCAGTCCTCCTGCCTCGGCCTCCTAAATGTTGGGATTGCAGGCCAGTCTTCTAGCAGAATGTGAATGACAACAGAAGAAAGAAGAGTAAAAATGCTGGTTTGCAGAACTTGTCTCTTTGGCCTTCCAGATCCTAGGACCCACAGGGTCTGGAGATCCATGGCTCTTGCTGCCCTGAGCAGCCTGCGAGAGGGCAGTGGGTTTAGCCTGAGGTTGACCACTGCTGCATGGAAACTGAGGAAGGTGGGAGTATCTGCTCCCAGAGGGGTTTAGGGCTGAATGGATGCCTGTGTGGATGGTGAAATGGATGAGTGAGGGGTGAGTGGGTGGCTCCCTGAAACATCCGGCCACACAGCTAGGCTGGCCTGGAAAAAAGACAAATTCACTGGCTGAAAGGTCAAAGAGAGGGGGAGGCCAGGCTGCCTCAGGGAAAACATGTGGGCCAATTGTGGTATGGGGGCAGAGATCAAAGAGCAGTAAGGTCAGGATGGGGAAGATCACAGAAGAGGGAGAGGAAACAACCATAACTGCCAAAGCCACTGCCACGGCTGCCAACAGTAAGGTGACAGAAACCAGAGGGGGCTCTGAGCAAGGTCCAGCCAGTGGCGCCTCTCAAAGGATAGGCAGCCCCCTCATCTGCTGCTGTGAGCCAGAAGGAAAAACACACAGGCCTCCGGCCCATCAGTCCTCAGAACTGAGCTGTGACGGGAGGGCAGGGCACCTGCCTCAGGTCAGGTTCTGAGGAGCAATGGGAGGAGGTGTGGCTCACCTCCCACCCATTCGCACACCAGGGCTCCTAGAGGGTGTGTCCCCTGCACTGCCCTTCCGGCCCTTCCAGGGACTGCAGGGCTCCCAGAAACTAGGGCCTCTGCCCAAGGTCCCCCAAGGTCGGTGCCCTCCCCCTTTGGGACGTTTCTTCAGAAGCTGTAGGACATAAACGTCCCTGGGTTAAGCCTCAGTGGCAGAGGCAGAAGCTAGAGAAAGACATGGTGCCCTGGACTTTCCCTTTTCTTTGGTGGCGAAAAGCTCTGGTAGGAGAAGTGCTAACAATGCTGACCCCCTGCAGGGCTCTGGGCTTTTCAGGGGTGCACAGGACTCCCCTGGTGCTTAGCACACTGGAAGGGGAGGCCCAACGGGACTCCCCCAGCATAGCCTCTGAGGGCCTCACCTAAAATGCAAAAACCTGCGGAAGCAGAGACGAAGGTAGAGGGCATGTGGGCAAAGGGTGGGCTCAGCAGGAACAGGCAGGCTCTTTAGCCCCTGAGAAACCCCTCGCCAATCTAGATGGACTCTGGAGTCTCCAGACAGCATGTTCTTGGGCGGGCCTCTGCCTGAGAGACTGTGCACAGGTCTGGGCTTCTAGTGGCCCCTTGGCCTGTCAGGCCTGGGCTGGGGGAATCTGAGTATTGCTGAGTGTGGCCTATCTTGCAGGCTCAGAATGTGTGTATCTTGTCAAGAATCTGAGGCTCAAGTGTCACTTGCCTTTCCCAGGAAATCTCCAAGTTCTCTGGTCCCAGCCTTGGCCTCCATCAGAAGACACAGCTGCCACTATCTGGGAGGTCACACAGCCTGAGCACTGGGGATCAGCTGCCCCAAATATCCTGTTCTGCCACTGTCTGCTACGTTCTCACAGATGAGGCCACAGAGCAGGCAGGGAGTGCGCCTGGCTCAGATGGAGCCCGGCGCAGTGTCAGGGCACAGCCACTGGGCCCCTCTGAGACACACAGCCGGCTGCAGTCCCTGCTCGGGCACACAGCACACACACAGCACTCTTCTTCCTTCCCGCCCATGTCCCTTGCCCCATGTGGCCTCATCCTGTTCCTTTCCTAGGGACTGGCTCACCTTTGGGGTACCCCAGCTCAGCGCGCAGCCGGTTCCCCATCTCAATGAGCTGCTCCCTCTGCAGGTGGAGGCTGAGGATCTTCCTGGTGGCTTCCTTGAGTTTCCTCTGCAGGTGGGGCACAGATGCGGCCCTGGGGGACTGTGATCCTGGCTGTGGGGGCCTGGAAGGCTGCTCCTGCTCCTCAGTCCCCACAGGTGTCCCGTCTGTGAGGCCCTGCAGAAAACCACACAGCAGACAGCCCTGTGAGAGCCCCAACAAATCCTGTGTGAGAAACAGTATGCAGAACCAGACCACCCCACTCCCAGTGATGTCCTCCACAGGAAAGACATGCTGGTGACTGTCTCTGTGCCCTCATGTTGGGTGGGGCAGCACAGATACTTGAGTGGGCCTCTCCTTTCCCATGGACCAATGTAGCACACACTGGGCCCTCAGCTCTAAGGGCCAAGGCCCAAACTGGCTCCTTGGTCCTTTCCCTCTGTCACGGGCACTGGCAGCCTTCCCCATGCCATGGGGAGTCTGGGCCTTTGTGACTTTCCAGAAGAGACAATAAGACCCTCTCACACCAGCTGGCCCAGCTGCTTTCAGGCCTGAGCTAGGCCCCGTTCCCAGGAGAAGAGGAAACACCCTTGTTACCCCCTCCCCTCCATGGTCCCCACAAGCCCGCCTGGAAGGCCAGGCCGGCTGGCTCTCCTAGCTGCCTGCTGGACACCCCTCCCCCTCCACAGCAGCTGTGGCTTTGGAAGCCCTCAGAAATTGTGGGGGTGGCAAAGAAAGAGGACAGGGCATTGCTGATGAGCGAAGTAACCCCTGGGAACCATGTGGTCCTGGCTTAGTCCTGCATGGACCGCCCCCGCCCCCAACAGCTATGCAAATGCACAATCGAACACAAGATGTTTGGGAAAGTAACAGGGGCACTCAGGCCTCAGCACATGTGAGACCTAGGCTGCTCCCTCCCTTAGCCTTGAGCACCGTGTGACTGGAACAGAACTGCACATCCTGTCCTGGCCAGCTGCCTGGAGTCCTCTAGGGCCTGTGCCCTGCAGGTGCTCTGTTCCCCAGGTGGCTTTGGAGCTGGGTGACTGTGTGCCAGAGCCTCAGGCAATGAGCTATGGTTCTGGGGGAGGAAGAGTCATGGGGTGACATAGCAGATATGGCCGTCCTCAGCCTGAGCAGGCTGGGGCAGGTACTGCTGGTCCCAAGAATGCCTGGGGCAGGCCTGGGTGCCCAACCTAAGGCACTCCTGGTGTGTATCCCTCGAGACCCCTCTGTAGGTGTTGTCCTCAGAGGACAAAGGACCCAGGGTAAGGACCTGGGAGAGGTGGACACATCTGGGGAAGGGTGACCTTCGTCTCTCTGTCCCCCAGGTCCGACTGGAGACTGCAGGACTAGCTGATTCTCATGGAGAGGAGGTGGGGGCAGAACACGCCTGCAACAGACTCGCCAAACCTCAGACACCTGGAAATTCTGTACTGATGGTGAATCTTTTAGAGCTTTCAGTGATAACGGCCTGAAATGTCCCAAGCCATAGCAGTGACCCTGGCAGGATCCTCAGCTTGGAGGAGCCTGAGGCCTCTGTGTTCTTGGTGGAAACAGCACAGAGTGTGGACCCAGCTGTGCCCTCGGCTGACTGTGTATATGACCTGGGCTAGAGAGTGACCCTCTGAGCACTGGGTTCCTGGCACAATGGTATTCCCTAAAAGTTTATTTTAATGAATCTCAAGTCTTTCCCCCAAACAAAGAGTGCACAACTGGAGATGTATCAGAGACATCATCTGAACAACAGGCCCCCCGAGCAGGCACAGCGGCCATGAGTCCCCCTGCGGAACCCAGGGCTGGGATGATCCTCCCTGTTCTACCAAGATGCCAGTGGAGGGGTGAGGGAGTGAACCTGAACAGCAAGGCAATCGGGAGGAATGCCATCCGTGGGAGGCTGTGGTGGCAGCCAGTGGACCCACAGGAGGCAGAGGTTGCTGCAGCAGGCAGGCCAGTGTTTCCCCCTCCACCCCAAAACCAGTGAGATCAGGCAGAGGGCAGATAGGCCTGAGGCCAGAAGCAAGGGGATGTTGATGCATAGCTGGGGTAGCAGGACAGGACGTCCAGCCTTTCCCCTGTGCAGAGGCCTGCAAGGGCAGTGCAGAGAAGCATGGCCAGCTGTGTGGAGGTCTCACACCTCCTGGGCAGGGGCAGGGGGCCAGTCTTTGACAGAGAGCCTGCAAGGTCAGCGTGGGCTTTACCAGTTCCAAGCCCAAGCACTGTCCACCCTTTCAGCATGGCACCTTTTCATGTAAAATTTCTCTGTAAGTATCCAAGAGCAAATGGGAGTGCTCTGCTGCTTTACATCCAGACACTCGGCCTGCACTTCTCACGTGCGAATGGACAGTCACAGGCCGGCTCAGGCCACGCTGAACATCACCCTGTGTCTGGATCGTGTTGCCCTAGTCTGAGTCTCCTGCCTCACGTGCTCGGGCTCAGGACACGTGCTCATGTGCTGCACTCCTCAGCTCCCCAGGGTCTGTCTGCTTGCTGATACCTGGAGTCCAGGCTGCATCACATCTCCGCTCTGGGCCTGTCTGAGGCCACCTCAGGCTCAGCACCAGGTTCTGTGTCCTTGGTGGGAGCCCAGGAATGATCTGTGGGCTTTCTACCCGAGGGGCAAGACAATTGTGTGTCCCAACGCTGGGAAGTGTGGCCAAGCTCATGTCTCACTCTTCAGCATGGGAGCTGTAGGGGACACCAACTGAGAACCAGGAAGGCCTTCTGCCTCTAGTCTACACTAGCCCCACCTGCCCTGCTGGTTGCGTCATCCCTGAGGGCTGCTGGTTGATCTTCTGATGTGTCTCCTTATCTGTCCCAATGTGAACTTGCAATTTCCTGTTTAACCCGGTGCCTCGCAATCTTCCCCAACAATGCCCATTGGCTTGGATCTGGTCAGCAGAGTGTCTTTCGGCTCCTACGCTGGATTGGCACTGTCTATAGAGCCCTGGTCCCAGGGACAGAGCAGGAAATCCAGAACCAGCCTCAGGGCACAGGTGCTTTTGGCCGCTGGAGTCCTTGTTTCTGGCCAGAACCAGGACAGAACCAGGAAGGTGTGCGTGCATGTGTGCCTCTCCCTTTCTCCCTGCATCTGAAATGACAGCTGTGGATGGCACTGGTGGGGATGATGCTGACACCACCTGAAGCCCAGCAGTCCATCTTTTTGGTCTTCCTTCTCCCTTCTCCTGGTGGTGAGACACCTGCCTGTACCATGAAGGACTGGGGTAGGGCTTGAGGCCACGACGTTTGGCCCCTCCACTCTGCACACATGAGAGTACAGGTAGAGCTGTCCTGTCCTGTCCAGCAAGGGCTATGCCTGGATGTTCAGGAAGCCAGGGACACAGCTGCCAACCTGTGGGCCAGGTCTGTTGTCCTACATGTCCCACAGGCCAGAAGTGAATTGGGCAGGCTGGACTGTGGAGCCCAGAGAAGGCTAGGTGCCGGTCCTGTGAGCAGACACAGCTCAGGGCTACGTTAGTGGCCAGGCTGGCCCTTCCCTTCCAGTGCCTGTGACTGAGCACCAGCTGGGACTCAGGCCCCTCTGCCCTTCTATTCTGCCTGTCTCATCTTCCACCTTCTGGGCAGCTCCTGGGTCATGCCTCCTTCATGTCTCTGGGTACCTGCTCCAGAAGCTGTGCACCCCAGGGACAAGCACACTGTTGTCAACCTCTGACAGTTTCTGCCAGAGGACTCTGAGTGTTTATAGACACTGTTTCTTGTCCCTAAGTCACCGTAAGTAACCAAAGGTCACTGTAAGTCACCATGGGTCACCATAGGTCAGCACTGCAGGCAGGTGGCAGGGCTGCTGCGCAGTAGCAGGCTGGGGTCGAGGGAAGCGGTTGTTCACCGTCCTGCTTAAACCCAGGTGTGGATTGGGTGGCACATGGTGCTGAGCCCGCTGAAGACCAGGACGGGGAGTCTGCAGTGGGTGCCTTCACCTCACCTGCAGCAGCACGCAGCTGGCCACGAGCGGTGCGGTAGCCAGCGTGGTGGTTCCCCCTGCTTCACCTGAAGACAGGTTGGGGGTGGCTCCTTGGGAGGACCTGGAGCAGGAGATGTTACAGCGGATGGAAGCAGGGGCTGACCTCTGGGCACCACCCTCTGCAGCTCATGGAGACCAGCAGCTTGGCAGGGCACCAGCAGCGCCGTCCACTACGAAGGGAACCCACCTCTTTCTCACGCGACTTCCTGTCTGAAGGCTCCTCTCCTTGCTGCGTTGTTCCAAGACGCTTCCCCAGTTCAGCCACCTCCTTCCGCAGGTCCAGAACGTCCAGGTGCACCTGGTGCATCTCCCGGGGAAGCTCTTGCTGCTTGAGGCCCAGCTCCAGGGGCTGCTCCTGCACCTGGGAGGCATTTCAAGAGGCAGCAGACGATGAAGCACAAGGGCACATGGTCCGGAGCAGGACAGCAGCAGGGTGTGCAGCAGGGACCCCTCTAGCCAGATACAACCTGCACACAGGCTCTGAATGCTGCCAGTGTGCACTGCCCAAGGCTGGAAGGGGAAGGCGCATGTGCAGCAGTGCGTAGCAGCCCTTCTCACAGGGCTCAGTGCTGGGAGAAATAGGGCCACCAGGAAACAGCAAGGATGCTAGGTGCAAGGGCACATGCCTATCAGGTCAGCTGCTTGGTGGCTGAGGCAGGAGGACTGCAAGTTTGAGGCTGACCTGGGAAACTTAGCAATTTAGTGAAACTGCTTCACTACGGCTGGGCATGTAGCTCAGTGCAAAGGTCCTGGGGTCAGCCACCAGTACCAAACAAACAAGCACAGGTCTGGAGATGGAACCCAGTGGTGGAGCACTTGCCTACCACAGAGGGCCTGGTTTCAATGTCCAACATCACAAAAACAAAATAAAAACTAAATACAAGCCCCGAGACAGCAGAGGGTAGGAAGCGAATCTTCCCCTTCCAGCAAAAAGCAGAGATAGGAGGTGCTAAGAGGGAAGGGGTCAAAGGCTGTGATGACCGGGAGTGGGCAAGAGGCAGAGAGAACACTGCCCAGCAGGAACTTCTGTGGGGGCAGCAGCATGGTTGTGATTCCCATCCTGGGCTCTGGCCAGGCCCTGCCAGCTCCCCAGGGCAGCCTCTGGCCAGCCTGGTGGGAAGGAAGGACACAGACAGGCTGCTATCCACCCTGGGCAATTCCTGTCAATAGTTTTGTTTTGACTTCACAGACACCTAGCAGAGCTGCTCTCTGGGTAAGCAGACACCATAAGTAGAAAAGGAAACACAAACACTCCACGGTAGAGTCTCACCTAGGACTGCCTCTGATTATGGAGGGAAAATTATGAGCTCTTACCTAAATGCTTTTTTTTTTGTCTTTTTTGAGACGGGGTCTCGCTATGCAGTTCAGGCTGGTCTTGAGTTCACTTTGTAGCCCAGGCTGGTCTCAAACTCGCAAGGATCCCCCCACCTCAGCCTCCCGAGTGCTGGGATTACAGGTGTGAGCCACCACGCCCAGCTTCTAATTGCTTATTTTTGTGTGTGAAATTCTAACCAGGTGGCTTAGAACCAAGAACACAAAGCATTATAGAAATGAGGTATCACCCTCCCTTCATATGTATGTAGAATACATATTTTTTTTTTCAGGTTTTTGAGACAGGGTCTCCCTGTATATTACAGGTTGGCTTTGAATTCAGTGCTTCTTTTGCCTCAGCCTCCCAAATGTTAGGTAACAGGTGTGTGCCATCATGCCTGACTTAATGTAAGAATTTAAAGTAGGGCTGGGGATTTAGCTCAGCGGCATAAGCGCCTGCCTTGCAAGCAGGCAGTTGTGGGTTCGATCCCCGGTACCAATAAAAAGGAAAAACACCAAAAAAAAAAAAAAAAAAAAAGAATTTAAAGTATATGTTTCTTTTTTTTTTTTTTCTTATAGGTACCAGGGATCGAACCCACAATCGCCTGCTTGCAAGGCGGGCGCTTATGCCGCTGAGCTAAATCCCCAGCCCCAAAGTACATGTTTCTAAGCACTATTTTGGGCTTTCTTTTTTCTTTTTTCCTTTTTCTTTTCTCTTGTATTTTGAGACTGGGTTTCATTGTATAGTTTGGGCTGGCCTCAAACTCACTAGGTAGCCTAGGCTGGTTGGTGTTGAACTTGCGGCAAACCTTCGGTCTCAGCCACATCTGGCATTGCTTTGGGAGTTCTTTGATTCAGAGATTATTTATTTTTGAGGTACTGAGGATTGAACCTTGAGTTATGCCTCTAGCCCTCATTTTTATTTTGAGGCAGGGTCTCACTAAGGCAGGGTTACTAATTTGTCCAGGCCAGGCTCAAATTTTCAATCCTCCTGCCTCATCCTTCCAGAGTGCTAAGATTACAGATGCCCAGTTTAACTCAGGGGCATGTTATTTTTGTTTTGTTGGATCTCATTATGTAGTTCAGGTTGGCCTCAAAAAATAGGCAATCCTCCTGGCTCAGCCTCCCAAGTGCTGGGATCATTGGTGTGTGCCAGTATGCCTGGTCCAGAGTTTATTTGGACATATGTTATTGAGAAAATATTTGGAGATTTTTCTGGGTATCTTTGTTGCTGATTTCCAATTAAGTTCTTTTGAGGTCAAGAAACTATTTATTTATTGAGACAGTATTTCACTATGCAATTCAGGCTGGCCTTGAACTCACTTTGTAAGCCCACTTTGTGGCCCTGAACTCAAGGAAATCTTGTCTCAGCTCCATAAGCGCCTGGCTTACAGGTGTGTGCCACCCCATCCAGCTAGAAACATTTTCTGTATGATTTGAACCTTTTAAAATTCATTGAGACCTGCTTTATGGTCTAACACATGCTCTAACTGACAGAAGCCCCATAGGCACCTGGTTCTGATCCTAAGCATAGAAGTGGAAAAGTGATTCATGTCTATTGCAACAACAAAGACACACTTCTGGTCAAGAAAGGGAACGAGACACCATGAGGAAACAGCAGGCATGGGAGACCCTGGATCTGCTATTAGCCAATTTGGCCACAGCCTGCAAATATTTCAAAACATCACAGGCTGGAGTGGTGGTGTTATGACTGCAACCCCAGTTCTCCTGGGAGGCCAGGGGTGGGAGATCTCAAGTTTGAGGCTCACCTTCTTTTTGAGCTCTGTTACCAGCACGTGCAAGAGATGCACTCTGTCTCCGAGCTTCCTGAACGCCAGTTCAGCAGATGCTTGGCCAGCACAGACAGAGCCTTCTGCAAAGAAGACAGAGTCAGTCAGGCTCAGATCCTGGAAGCTAGAAATGTCCCCCACAAGGCCCACAGGGGCCACTGGCTATCTCAGGGAGCAGGTGTCCCTCACTGGTCTCAAGAAGCCAGTTCCTTATGACAATCAGAAATGCGCTGTGCATGAAATGTAATCCTGTGCAGAGAGCAGGACAAAATCCTGCCTGACACACAGCCTCTGATGGAGTCTTTCCACTTATACAGGGGGCCATTTGTTTGAAGGAAGAAAAAAAGACATCCACATAATTCATGGGTCAAAGAAAAAGTGACCATGGACATTACAAGTTAATGTGAACAGAATTATAGAACAAAACAATTTATCTATTCATGCTAAGCTGTCCTTTGGAGAACATTTATAGTTTTGGGTTCACATTTTAGAAAGACAGAAAGGCTGAGAATCCATTAACTGAACATTCACCTGAAAAAAATAAACAGAAGATAAGCAAAAAAAGGTAGAGGAAAGAAAATAAAGTTAGACACTGAGGAAATGGAAAATATAATAGATGGTCAACAAAACCAAGCTGAGTCTTTAAAAAGGCTAAAAATAAATTTCTGTTGAGACTGAGCAAGAAAGAATAAAAAAGAACAGAAGCGAAGGACCAACTTAATATGTGGGAAAAGGTCAACAGACAATTAGAAAGCTCCTAGAATAGAGTAAATAGCTTTATGCTAGAAGTTTAAAAATCTAGATAAGATGGACAAATTCTTAGCATAATACGACATCCAAAATGATGCCCCCAAATAGGTGTAGTGGTACGTGCCTGTATTCTCAGTACTTCTGAAGGCATGCAAGTTCAAACTCAGCCTGAGCACTCAGGGAAGCCCTGCCTAAAAAAAATTTTTAAAGGCTGGAAGCAGGGTGTGGTGATGCAGCCTCATAATCCTAGCAGTTGTGAGGCTGAGGCAGGAAGATCACTACAAGTTTGAGACCATGCTGGCTACCTAGTGAGTTTGAGGCCAGTCTAAACTACATAGTGAGACCCTGTTTCAGAAAGGGGGGGGGGGTAGGGGGCAGCATTGGGGGAGGCACGGAGGCACACACACAAATCTGGAAGTCCTCTAACTGAATCAAGAGTTTAAAACCTTCTCACCAGAAAAACTCCTGCCTTGGGTAGCTTCAAAATAGAACTTTTTTGGGGGGTAGATATAGAAATTCTCAATAAAGCATCAACAAATGAAATCTAGCGATGCAGACAGGGCATGACACCTCACTCTGGAACTGCAAGGTTAAAGTTGCAAAACAGTGCGAATGTGTGCACCCTGCCCCTCCTGCAGTCACAGCCACACCTGGCAGCCACTGCCCGAAGAATCTGAGGGTGGGGAAAGGGCAGCCTTGACCTCAGGGACCCTGGGTGCTGCCTGTCCTTTCTGCTTTCCGGCAAATCCCGGCTCAGATGCTTTCAAAGGAGCCTGTGTCCCAGAAATGCCAGTGGTTTTGAGAAAACCCAAGAGAATCTGCTTCCTGGATCCACAGAACCAGGGAAAGACAGCTGTCTTCCCCCGGGGGCTCCTGCCCACCATTCCTGTCTGCGCTACACCCAGGCACCTGCCTGTGACACCAGCCACAGCCAGCATGGCAGGGCCCACAGATCTGAACCCAGGGAGCACAGAAGAGGCCTGAGTCAAAGCCCAAGGCCTCACCATGCCCGTCAAGCAGGTGAATCTCACTTGGGAACAAGGAGGCACAAATCAGAGCTGGGAGAGGTCTGCCAGGCATGTGCAGAGGCAGTGTCACCCACTGTTGGTGGCAGGCCGGCTGGCACTGTGACAAAACAGTGTGAGCTAAGAGAAGCCACATGAAAGCGCTGTACAGTCGCACGGACATAAGGGGTGAGGTGTCAGGGCAGCAGCTGACTCTGGGGAAACACAGGTAGCTCTGGGTCAGATCAGAGGGTCCTCGGGGGCTGGGAAAACCCATTTTGAAAGGACAGTATACTGGGCCAGCGCCTCCAGCAGCCTCTGCAGAGGAGCAGGCCTGAGTGTGGGGGTCAGTGTGGCCTGAGGGCATCCTCGTATGTTTCGATGTGCCTTCTAGCTGCTCTTCCAGGCCTCTCAGTTTGTCCTTTAAGTCTTGCATTTGTGCTTCAAGGGCCACAACATAACCTGCCAAAAACCCCAATCTTGTTACCTCCTCCCACAGGGTGCTCCTCCCTGAAGACCTGGCCCAGCACCCCTGGGCCGCATGACTTGGCCCTGTCCTACTTGTCTGCCTGGGCCCAGGGTGCCCTGTGGGGAGCCTGCCCTTTCCCCTTCTCAGTCTGAAGCTCAGGATTCTCTTTTCCTCAGGAGGAAGAGCAGGGGCATCCTTGGAAGAGATTTGCCAAAGGCGGTGTTCACCTGCAGGGCCTTCCCACTCACCAGAAGGGGCTGCGTCTCCTCCAGCGCCCGGATCGGGCTGGTCGCCACCCCAGGTGTCCTTTGCGAAGTGTGCAGGAGGAGGCATTTGGTCACTCAGCATTTCCATTTCCCGCCGCATCTGTGCCACAGCATTCCGCAAGCTTATGTTCTGCTCTTGGAGCCGCTGGATCTCCCTAGACAGAAAATCTTCACTTATTTCTTCTCTGTGCTGCTTTAGGGGCATCTGCCAAACACATGTGGAAAAGGGAATTGTTATGGCCACAGAGATAGGGAGCGTTTCCTGCTGCAGCCTGGCTTGATCTCCCACTGCTCCTGCCCTCCTGCTAACCACTGCCTGTCCTCTGGGGCTGCAGGGACCCTCCCAAGCTCAGTGACGGGAAGGCGCTCAAGTGCAGGGTCCCCAGAGTGACCAGGCTAGCGCCAGGCAGCAAACAGGTGTGTGTGTTCACAAGTGCAGGCACTCTCCAGGGGCAGAAGGAAGACCAGGGATTCAGTGTCAAATGGAACAGAGGCTCAGTTGGGTAAGACAAGATGCTCTAGGGAAAGACGCCAAGTGTGTGCTTCTGCCACTGAGCTACACACTGAAAAAGGGTGAAGATGGCAATTTTTTTTTTGGTGCTAGGGATCTAACTCATGACCTCATGTTTGCCAAGAAGGCACTTGTACCACTGAGCTAAACCCCTGGCCCTGATGGAAAATTTTACACACATTTTAGCACCATAAAAATTTAGTAGCTAGACTAGGCCCAAGAGCAGATCTGAAAGCACAGAAGAGCAGTGACCATAAACACACAGCAATAGAAAACAGTGAGGTGGAGGGAAGGGTCTGAAAAATAAGGAGAACTCGGGGTGGTCTGGGATGTGGTACCAGGCACCCAGAACAACAAGAGGGGCCAGAAAAGGTATTCTAAGCACCGTGTTGGTGCATGTCTGTAATTCTAGCACTTGGGAGGCTGAGGCAGGAGGATCACTGAGATCAAGGCCAGCCAATAATGAATTTCAGGACAGCCTGCAGTACAAAGTGAGACCCTCTCTCAAAAAACAAAATAAAAAATAAAAAAACAGAAATGGTATTCCACAGCAACAGCCACAAGTGCTCCAAGTCTGATGGAAGCATAAACCCGCAGGTCTAAGGGCTTCAGTGAATCCTAAGCAAGATAAACACAGAGAAAAAAACATCGAAGAATACATCAAAACCAAACTTCTACAAAACAGTGACAAGAAAGCTCTTTGAGGGTATCTGCCTCACTGAGGACAGATGCAGCTGATGAGTACAGCCCTGCCGGGAGCGAGCCAGAGCCAAGGGTGCAGCCTGCCTGCCAGCCTGACAGGACTATCTACGGAACCTCAGGAAGAAAAGTGTCAGGAAGCCTAGGTGGGGTACGGGGAATCAACCTGGGCAAGGCAGAAGACCCCATCTCAAAAAACAAAGTTTATTTAGAAAAGGAGGTCTGATGATATACCTCAGCTGGCATGGCGCCTACCTGGCAAGCACAAGGTCCTGAGTTTGATCCCCAGTTCAAAAAAAAAAAAAAAAGAAAAATTTAAATAGAAAAAAAAAAAAAAAAAGAATTCCTCAAGTGAAATGTGACCTTGCCAGTCACCGGTCCAAGCTCCCATCCAGCCCCTGGAGCCACTTGCTGTGTCTTGCGTGTTCGCAGTGCTGTGAGGAGACAGCCACCCCTTCAGTGACCGTGGGGTGAAGCCCGAGATTAGCTCTGAGCTGGCCTGGCCTGGGCCTTCCCTGGACACTACTGCAGCAGCCCTGTTACTTTCACTCCCAGCTCATCAGTGCTTTGCCAGGGTCACGCTGACTCTGGACATGCATGTGGCCTGCTGTCCCTGGCCACCCTCCACCCCAGCTCCTTGGGCCTCATACCTCAGGTTCTGATGACTCGGTTTTCTGCACACGAGCTTCCCTCAGTTGCTTGGCACTGTGCAGTGCGTGGGAGGACCATGTGCCCAGAGCCTGGCTCTGTTCACTCTGCAGCACCTGCACATCTGCTCAGGAGGGAGCGTGGTGCTCTTGGCTGGCTGGATACCATTCTGCACTCAGCTGGTGAAGCCTCACCAGCTTGCAGCACAGGCCGTACCCAGGGCCCTGCAGGGATGTCCCCCACCCAGGATGCACAGACGACCTGTGTGCTCACTACAACCCAGCTGCAGGAACACTGGTGTCATCGGTGTTGGGGTGCCCAGCTGAGCCCACTTCATAGCTGACTCTGCTTCAGGCCTGATCTGCCTTCCCTGAGAGCTGACAGCCCAGAAGGAGGGGAAGGCAGGCCAGTCCCCAAAGGACTCCAGTGCCCCTGGTAGCTTAGGCTTTCCATGATGGGGCAGACATCTGACTTTTGAGAAAACAAAGGGGCCCTCAAACACTGTCCTGAGACAGGGTCATGCATGGGGAGCCATTGGGCCTTAATCTCAAACAAAGTCCTGAGATGAGATCAGGCCCAGGCCAGCCTCCAAAAGATGGCGTCTGAGAAGTTTCTGTTGGTCCCAGGACAAATTATCACAGCAGGGCAGCTTAAGACCTCAGGAATTTATTTATCCTCTCCTGAAATCAGGGTATTGGGCAAGCTGTTCTCTGCCCAGAGGCCCTCACAGTCTCTGCTAGCTGGGGCACCCTTGCCATCCTCGGCTATGACTAAATCTGCCTTCGTGTGCTGTCTCTCCATGTCCTCTCCTCTCATCAGGTCAGTAGGTTCTGGATTAGGGCTGGTCCTACTCCAATGTTACCTCATCTTTTTTTCTTTTTCTTTGTTTTGTGTTGAGACTTTTGCAGTGGCTCTTGAGTCTGGCCTTGACTTTCCTAGGTAGTCTAGGCTGGGCTTGAACTTGCAATCCTCCTGCCTCAGCCTTCCAAGTGCTGGGAATATGGGTATGTGCCCCACACCTTGCCTGTGACTTCACCTGAACTCATCACATGTGCAGCAATCTAATTCCAATGAGGTTCTATGGTCAGAACCTGAACCTTAACTCAGCCACAGGAAGCCAGGGGCAGTGGTGGATGGCAGCTGGCTGTCAAGCCTGAGGAGGTCCTTGCAGAGACAAAGTCACTGTTCCCTTGAGCTCAGATTGCTCAGTCTGTGTGTGAAGACATGTGTCTTGGGGACAAAGTTCAACCTCTTGGCCAGCTTTGATTACGAAAAGCTCCACAGTTGCCCTGAGATTTCACCATGGATACCGGATTCTCCAAACCAACGAAGCCAGCAGGGTGGGAAGCGGTATTTTAAAACTGAGAGGGGAATAAGCTACCCAGGTCCACCAGCAGCGATGACCTGCTGGGATGCTGGCATCCCTGCCAGCCCAGGCACAGGCAGTGGCTCTCTGCACGCCAGCCTTTCTGCCCCTTCCTTTGTGCTGCAGCAGCCAGACCAGCTTACACTAGAGAGACCCCTTCCTCATCTTGGTGTGGAAGGCTTGTATTTGTAATTTCATGGAGAACTTATTGGCATTTTAGTGAGTTAATTCCAATCTACCACTTGGAGGCAACCCACAGTGAGAACAAAGATGCTAAGACACATTGAGAGCTATGGGGAGCCGAGCTGTACTAAGTCCAGCCAAGATGCTGGTTCACCTGGAACGAATGCCACTGGGTTTTATTAATTCATGAAGAAGGGAATGGTTTGAGGCTGAGTGATTGTGAGAATGGCAGGAGACATATAAGTACTGTGAGCTGGGCTAGGTAGGAGGCCAGAAGGCACCTCTGCAATACACAAAGAGAAAAATATGCAGGAAGACCAATCTGTGTAACACAATAGAGGTGGCGCTTAATGTTCAGGCAGTAGCGCCTCAGCTCTGATGTGCAAACCTTTTCTGCCTGGGAAGCCACAGCCTCTGATTTTGAGGCTCATCCCAGTTGACAGCCCTGGAGCAGGGGCTCTGCTATATAGCCCAGCTCACCCATGTTTAGGGAGACACCGGAGTGGGACACCGGAGTGACTGCTGCCTGGCTTCAAAGATCAAACATCAGCACCTCAGTTAGTGCTATTTACACTGCTCAGAACCAACTAAAGAAAAAGAAAAGGCCTGGCCAGTTCTGTACACACCAGCACACAGACACAGGGCCAGGGTTGGCTGAAGTGGAGGGGGTTTCCAGGTGTCATCCACACTACACCCCCACAAGGCAGTGGCTCCGAGCCAAGAGGCTCTCCCAGGTCTGAACAATCCCCAGCTGTTGAGGCAGGGCCATCACATTTGTGCTCTGACTCCATGGACCCAGGCTCAGCTGTCCCAGGTTCCCTGTGCCCCTCAGGTAGGTGGTGAGAATGGCTGACGCTCTCAGTGCTGTTGAGGGTCGCCAGTTTCTTCCTTCATGGCAAGACAGCAGCAGCAGAGAATCAGCTGATACAGGGAGGGAGATCAGAGTGGCGGCAGACACACTGTACATCTTGTCTGAGGTGGACTATGCTGTGGACACTGGGATCTGTGTACATCACTGCCTGTGAGCACACCTCAAAAGAATCAGCAGGGAAAAACCACCAAGGCCATTCACAGGCATGGAATGATGTCTCCTCTCCTTCCAGCTCCGGGCCACCCGACAGTTGTGACAGCTCAAGTAGGGTCCCTGAGCCTCAGGTACTGAACAAATCGAGGGGGATTATAGGCTTGGAGGGAGAGTGGCACCAGCTACTGACCACTATTGTCCCTACTAAACACCAGCAACTGCAGGGACAGACACAGCATGAGTCACACTCCGAGGGAAAGATCACAGCGTTCACCACTGGGCTGAGTCGTTCTGAGACTTTCTGCAGTACTAGGGACAGAGCCCAGGGTCTCACTCACTCCAGTGCTGCATTGTAGCAGCTCTGAGTCAGATTTGGCCCTGGTGTTTTTACAGGTTTCAAATGCTAAAGACACAAAAAAGATTCTGGCTTTATGTGTTTTGATGCTTCATAGCCTCAGACTCACCTGTGTGTGTGTAACCAGTCATCAAGAGGAACGGGATTGAGAAGGCCCAGCCAGCCTCCGTGCACATGGGCATTATGTCTACTGCAGCTGCTGAGCTGAGCCAGCAAGGGAGGCTGGGGAACGGATGCGCTCACCTGTGGCTCCTGTCTGGGGAGAAGCCCATGTGCCCGAAGCTCTTCCATGGCCTTGTCTCGCTCCAGGGTCACAGCCTTCAGCACCACATCCTGCTCCCTCAGTGCCTGCTCTGTCTCCTGAAGCTTGGCTGCAACCTGGGAAACACCCACCTGCGGTTGGGGGCAGTGCTGGCCTCCAGGGACAGAGCCAGCACCCTTCTGCCTATGAGGTGCACAGCAGGCAGGGGTGAGATGTGTCCTGAGAATCAGGGTGCACACGAGCTTGGGATGCCAGGCTGACCCTGATGTGGTGGGAGTGATGTCCATGCTGCCCAGCCCCGGTGCCCAGGCCACTCTTGCAGGGACCACACCAGCACCACTGAACCTCATCAGTGGGAAAGCAGCTAACACACTGCACCCCTGCTAGAGGTTGGTGGCCATGGAGGGCCATAATTGTATAACTGTGACTTTGCAGCCGTAAGTCAACGGTCAATGAGGCTGAGTGCTTTTGAACGTATAGAGTAAGTTAGCAAGCACCAAATCAGTCCTACTTCAGCACTGTACATGCCCCAGACCTGTCTCCTGATGCCCCCTGACCAAGGAGGCACAGCACCATGCAGTACCACACACACCTGATCTCTGGCCTCGGTCAGCCCCTGGATCAGGGCCTCTGACCTCTGGATCTGGTCTCTCTCAATGTCATCACAGCGCCGTTGCCAGTCCAAGCCCAGCTGCACCCGGTCACGTTCAAGGCTCCGTTCCCTTTCGATGGCCTGGGACAGCTGCTGTTTGTATCTAGGGACAAATCCAGATGGTCCGCCTTGGTGATTCTTTAGTTTGCGATGGGATGCAGTTTGCGGGCGAGCACAGCCATGCTGACGCTGTGTGCACAGCTTGAAGGCAATGAGAAGCCGCTGCCATGCGCACAGGGCAGGCCAGGGCAGAGGCCGAGATCCCCGAACACTGGGGAAGACGCGGGCCGTGAATGAAAGCAAAAGTGCCAGTGTGCAGGAAGACCAGCAGAGAAGCAAACACATGACAACCACGCTGGCGGACTACTCTGAGGAGCAGCAGATGTGAGCCAGGCAAGAGGCAGCCTGCAAGGGGGCAGCAGGGCCCATTCCATGGCAAGGGGAGGCTTCAGAGGCCATTGGAGCCTGACAGCACCGTGACAGAGAGGGGAAAACTACTGCCATGATACAAGGGCCAGTTTGTCAAGGGACGGTGTACAAAGTTCATGGCCCTAATGGGGCATCACACAGAATGTCATAGCTGACAGACAGCTGACCACAGCTGCACCTCCAGTGAGTGACCGAGCCAGATGATGGACCGAGAGGACATGGGCGACGAGACTCCACCCTTTGCCAACGTGGCTCAAGGGACCGTCTCAGAGCCCCTGGCACGGACAGGATGTCCTCTTTGGGTCCATGTGGGCAACCTGAGACAGACACAGGAACACAGAGGGAACATCTCAGCCACAGTAGGTTTAACTTGAAAACCAGAACATGATGGTCTAGAAAATGCAAAATAATGGGAAATAACACCACTTTTCTAAACTGCCCACTGCCCAAAGGGAAATCACAGGGAATTAGAAAACACTGTAACTGAGTATCAGACTCTAGGATGCAGACAGTCGTTCTTGAGAGGAGACCTATAGTACAAACTGCTTAGAGAAGAATAAGTCATCCAAACTTCTCTATCAGAAGCCATCAGAGGGATACCAAGTTAAAGCCAAAGGAAATGGAAGAAAGAAAAAAGATCAGGTATTGATGACACTGAAAACAGAAAAGCAATTAAAAAAATCAGGGGAGGAACTGGGAATGGGGGTTCACACCTGTAATCCCAGCACTCGGGAGGCTGAGGCAGGAGGATCACCATGGGTTTGAGGCTAGCCTGGGCCACAAAGTGAGTTAAGGCCAGCCTGAACTGTATAGAAATAAATAAATAAATAAATAAATAAATAAATAAATAAATTGGGGGCTGGGGATTTAGCTCAGCGGCATAAGTGCCTGCCTTGCAAGCAGGCGGCTGTGAGTTCGATCCCCAGTACCGATAAAAAAAAAAAAAAGGAAAAAGACCAAAAATAAATAAATAAGTTAGTAAACAAAGGGCTGGGGCTGGAGCTTAGTGGTACAACACTTGCCTAGCATGTGTCAGGCCTTGTGTCCAACCCCCAAGGAGAACTAAAACAAAGCCATCACATACAGTTAAAGTGGGGTATGTTTTACTAAATGTACACTGCTCCTCAATAATGCTGACTTTAGTACATTACTGGAAATAGATGACCTTTACTCAGGCACATGCTCCTGAAACCATAAGACAGACACTAGGGCACAGCCAGGCTGGTGGAGGAGTAAGAGATGGCCCTGCCATGGCTCCCAGCTCTCGAGAAGAGTAGGTCCCTCGTCCCAAGGCCTCTCAGATTCCACCACTGTCCTCATCACTGCATTCCCTTCTGTTTGTCTCTGGTTTACTGTTTCAAACAGAACCCAAAAGAACAGAAGCCTGTGGGCTCCCCTGGGAAGCACTCTCAGAACTCCGGCCCTGCCCTGGGGACCGTACCTGTCTACGTCCTGCTGGGTTCTGACCAGCTGGGCTTTAAGCTTCGCCTTCTCTTCCTGCAGTGTCTGGGCCTGGAGGTCTCTGGAGACCGCCTCCTTGGACACTTGGGCGACCTGGGCATCCCAGCCGGCTTTTATGGCTGCTGTTTCCTCCCGGAGCCTGAGCAGAAAGAATGTATCAGTCAGTGTTCCCACTGCGCACCTAGGTGCGCTGCTGCCCAGTGCCCCAGCAAACAAGCGTGTGCTCTCTGGGCCAGAAGAGACTCCACGGCAGAGTTCAGGCGTCCCCCCACTAGGTAAAGCAATGGTTCCACCTGGGAAGAAATGGCCCCTGGTCCTATAATCCCAGGGCCCCTTCCTGGCCACAGACCTGCCCAAGTGCAGGGCCAGAGGCTCCAGCATCCACAGAGCCTGGGCCACACCTGGCACAGCATCTCATCGCATTCAAAGTGAAAGCAGAAAGAGGCGCCACAGTGTCCGCTAACCACTTAGCAGTTTGCCCAGAGCGTTCTGCAGCATGCTTGTTGACAGACGTGCTGACTGCCCTAAGCAACACTTGGACAGGCGTCACTTCAACCAGTCGATTCTTGGACTGAGCAATTTTTTCTGGGGGAGGAGACAGGGTCTCACTAAGTAGTGCAGGCCGGCCTTGAACTCACTCTGTAGCCCAGGTTGGTCTCAAACTCACAGCAGTCCTGCTGCCTCAGCCTCTCAAATGCTGGGATGATAGGTGTGCACTACCACACCTGATTTGTATTGAATACATTTAATAAGATTATTGTTTTTATATTTTCTGTTGTATGATAAAAATGACCAAAAAGGGAGGTTGGGAATTTTGCTCAATAGCATAAACACTCGCCTAGCAAGCAAAAGGTCGTGAGTTTGATCCCTGGTACCAAAACAAAGTTTTTGATCATTCTATATTTAAATAACTAGACTGGTAAGTGGTTAAACAGCTTAACACCTCTAGAAAGATTACCAAAAACTAGATAAGGCCAGGGATGTAGCTCAGTAGCACAGCACCTGCCTGGAAAGTGCAAGGTCCTGGGTTCAATTCCAGGAAACAAAAACAAAAACAAAAACAAAAACTGAATAAACTTCCCAAGTGAAACATTAAAACACCCAAAGATACTACCTAGGGCAGGCATGGTCCTAACCCAAGCAACAGGCCACCTGCCCATGGCCCGACACTGCCCTGCTATGCTCACACTTGGCCTCCAAGGCCACCGAACTGGCCAGCAATGACCCGGTTACCACATGCAGACCTTGGCAGGCTCCCATGCCCATGTGCTAATGCTTGATGGGCACTGATAAGTGGGGTGGCTGACTGCAGGCGAGGCCACCACTGGGATGGAGTGGCCATTAAACACGATTGGGACACATCTCAAGCCCAGCCTTGTGCAGGGTGGAAAAGCCACCTTGCCAACACTTTGGATGTGTTTCTAAAAAGGAGGCTGAGGACAGGCAGATTCACAGTGTTGACATTTCCAGACAACGGGGGCCACTTGGTTGGATTCAAACATGGGACACTGTCCCTTCCAGGCTGACAGCCTTCCTGAGGTGAGGCCTGCCCACACTCCCACTGGCCTGCTGAGGTGCATGGCCCCAACTTAGGTTGCAGGGCAAGGCCACTGTGCTCTCACTGGAGACACAGGCACTAGTGGGGAACACAGTCACCACTGAACTCATATCCATCCACCTTAACCCTGTAGGTATGCCCTGGGTTCCAAACTCAGACAACACAAGACTGCTCACACAAGGAATGCTACCAAGAGCTGGGGTCGTCACTCACCACTAACTCATACCTAGGATAACAAGAAGCCTCAGAGGTGGTTCAAAACCCACAAATCCATTTTCTATTGGCAAAATAATACCTGTCTATGTGATGAGGACTCTTAACAAGCAAAAAACACTCCTGGACAGAAAGTGAAGGAGAGTTCAGCATAGCACTTACTTAGGAGGCTGAGACTGGACAGGCAGGCTGGCCAAGGCCTGCGTGGGAATGACACAGGCTCAGACTGGCCTGCCTGTGACAGTGCAAGGGCACAGCCCCACACTTCCTGGGCCCAGGCCTCTGCCACTGGAATGGTGCTCCTCAAACTAACACAGGGCATAGTGCTCAATAGACTTGGAACCTTCCCGGCATTTCAAGCTCTAAGAGCATCCCCTACCCAAAAGAGAAATATAATTTGGCAAAGAATTTTCTGCAGGAAGAAGGCAAGAATTCCCCACATGGAAAAGCATGCTGCTAAGCACATAAATGCCAGCAAATGACCCATCTGCCTCAGTGGTCCTGGGAACACAGCCTGCTGAGGGCTGAGTTCTCCCTGGAAGCTGCTGTGACCCGTGGAGCTGTTGGGGCTGGGACCTGGCTGACACAAAGAAGGGAGCGGCATTCACAAAGACACAGGAGCCGTGTGCACCACTGGTGGGAACCTGAGGAGGCGCAGCCACTGGGAAACCACAGGGCAGCTCCCCAAGAGCTAAGCACAGAGCCATTCGTTTCCAGCATGTCACACAAGAACCACAGCAGGGTCTTGAAGAGACACCAGAACACCCATGTTCACAGAGCACCAGAGAAGAGTGCAAACAAAATGTGGCCACTGCATACACGGGAATATTTATTTGGTCTTTTTTTTTTTTTTTTTTTTTGTCTTTTTCTTTTTTATCGGTACCAGGGATCCAACTCACGACTGCCTGCTTGCAAGGCAGGCGCTTATGCCACTGAGCTAAATCCCCAGCCCCTATTTGGTCTTAAAAAGGAGGAACATTCTGACTTGATAAGCATTGAACTATACATTACAAAATGGTTCAAATAATTTTACGTTACATGTATTTTAACACAAAAAAATTTGAAGAATGAAACTTTGATGATGCTATAACGGCAATGAACCTTGTGGATATCATACTCAGTGAAACAGGCTCACCACAAAAGGTTTCAGTTACTTGTGGGCCCCAGTCATCACATTCACAGAGACAGACAGGCTTCCAGGTATCAGAGTAGGGGGTGAAAGCTGTTTAACATGACAGGGGCTTGGCTGGGGAAGAGGAGGGCTTTGGAGCTGGCAGAGGTGCAGGCAGTGTGGCACTGCACATACCCTGCTGCTCCCAGACTGCATACCTGGGAATGTTAAGATGGTAAATTTCATGTTGTGTATCTCTTACCACGGATAGCAAATGCACTGGCACACACACAATCTACGCAACTTCAAAAACGAGCAAACAGGACCATTGAGAGGACCGGACTGCTTCAGAGGTCAGTCCTGCCCGCAGCCCATTTCCCTCGGTCTGATGTGGCCTGAGGCTGCCAGGAGCACAGGCGCCAACCAACAGGGCACCTGACCCTCTGGGAGGAGCAGGCTGGTGCCAGAGGCTCACCTGTCGATGACGGCGTCCTTCTCCTTGGCAGCGTCAGCCTGAGCCCACTCAGCCCTGCGCAGCTGCGCCTCCAGGCTCTCGCAGTGGGCCTGCAGCTCCTGCACCCTGGCCTCCAATGCCCGCAGCTGCTCTGTGTGAGCACTCTTCACTGCCACCAGCACTACATCTCTCTCCCTGGCCAGACGGTCAAGCTCCTCGTGTCTGAAACACAGCGGAAGGTGCCACAGCAGCCCTCCCAGGGCCCAGAATCCTTGAAAGCATCACAGCCCCCTCTTGGACTGTGGCTGTCATGATCCCTCATCCCTGGTGGAACGGCTGTTTCTGCAAGTATCACCTGCCCTTCTCAGAGGATTTGCTCTCTGCCCTGACCTTACAAGCACAGACTGATGCCTGGATCCCTCCCCACCACAGTGCAGGATTCCTGAACAGCCCATAAAAGCCAGCAGGTCTAAGGCATGAGCTTTGTTCTGTGCGCTAACCACTGAGTTACCAACGTGGAATTGCCCTAGTTTGCCTGCTTCTCATAATTCATCTTTCAAAGTAGTTTTGTGACTCAGCATTTTCACAATACTCCTCCAACACTGCAAATATGCTTGGGAGAGGAGAGACTCAGTGCAAACGGGGTCCTGCTTCACAGTGACAACAGTCTTTTAAACTTGAGTGACCTGATGAACACGCTTCCTACAGTGAGACTGAGTCTGCCTGTCTGCAGTTTCAGATGGGGGAAGCTTCTGACCGCAGCACTTTACTTAGAAGGCAATGCAGGTGTTCACTCTGGCCCGCACTCCAGGTGCACTCTGCTGGTTGGCGTACCCTAGAATTCCCAGCGTTTCAGCAGCCCTCACCTCCTTGAGTGTGGCTTCCACAGGAGCCAGGTAGGAGCGACAGGAACATGTGACAGCTGTGAGCAGTGGGATCTGAGCCCCCTAATCTGGCCAGATAATGGTTCTGCCAGCACCTTGGCATAGCAGGCTGACACCAGGCCTTAAATTTATGATCCTCTTGCCTCAGCCTCTGGGTTAGCTGGATTATGGGTGTGTGACACTGTACTCAAATCCTTAGAAGTTTCAAATTTTGGGGGCTGGGGATTTAGCTCAGCGGCATAAGCGCCTGCCTTGCCAGCAGGCAGTAGTGAGTTCGATCCCCAGTACCGATAAAAAGGGGAAAAAAAAACCAAAAAGAATGAAAAAAAATAAAGTTTCAAATTTTTACAGCACAGAAAGTCTAAACCTCCCAGAGGAAGCATAGAGCAGAGCACCAGTGCAGACTCTAGTAGCAACCCTGGCCAGGCCCCCTGCTGCTGTCTTCTGCCCTAGGGGCCCTGTGAGCAGCTCCTCAGCCCCACCACTGCTCCTGGGGCAGTGATCTGCTACTCACTTCCTGTTAAATGTCTCCTCTTCTCTCTTCCTGGTCAGCTGCACAGAGTGAAGTGTGTCCTCTAAGTCCTTTATCCTGCACACAAACAGAAGCAGTGCAAGAGCCTGGATAAGCAAACTGGCTGGTCTGGAGGAAGCCAACCAGCTAGACTTGCTCCCAACAGCCACATGGCCTCCAGGAGAAAGCCCCACACACCGGGCGTCTTTCACAGCCTCCAAGTCCCGGAGCTCCCAGGTGCAGCTCTGCAGCTTCTGCTCTAACTCGCGGTTTTCTGTCTCTGCCTTCTGCAGACACTCCGCAGCTTGGGCTCCAGCCAACTTCAGTGCCTCCAGCTCTTGGTTCAGCAGTTTGACCTGAGAAGGATTTTGGCAGCTCAGCCAGGAGTGCAGCAGCTGGATGGGTAAAATGGCTGACAGTGGTGCAGACGGGCAGCAACACTGACACTGGTGGACTATGTGCTTGGACTTCTCAGCACCTGGCCTCACCCCAGCACCTGAGCTGGCAGCCCACAGCTCGTAACTGTGTGCAATTACAATGTCAATCAAACATTTAAAACTCAAAATGAAGTTGTAATGGGAAAAAACTGAGACATCAGACGTGAACATTTCACCAGGACTTGGCCAAGGATTTAGCTCAGTCTCAAAAGCACCTGCCCGAAGAGCGTGAGGTTGTGAGTTTGATTCCTGGTACCAAAAAAAGAAGCAGAAAGTAAAAATGTGCTCACATCCATCCCTGGTAAAAACTTAGCAAGGCTGAGGACTCACTGAAGGCACCCTGTGCCCGCACAGTTGGGCTCCTATCCCTCAAGGGTGCCTCAGACATGCCCACACCTTTCTCACAGCGGACCCATTTAACGCAACTTACTTCTTTTTTTTGTCTTTTTCGTTTTTATCGGTACCAGGGATTGAACTCACGACTGCCTGCTTGCAAGGCAGGCGCTTATGCCACTGAGCTAAATCCCCAGCCCCGCAACTTACTTCTTGACACAAATCTGAATATTATCTGCAAAGTGAAGCCTACAGTGTGGAGCAGGGGAACACAAGGTTCAGTGTTCTTGGGAAATCCTTGGGTGATGACAGAGGCGGTGCTGTGGGCAGTTATGTCCCAGGGATGCCCATAGGTGGGTGGTGAGGTGCCACTTTGGCTCTCAGAATGAACCCTGTTGTGAAGCCAGGGGTGGTCTCTGCCTCACAGCAGATGAGGGTGACAGTGGGGGTTACCTTGGCTGTGCCTGCTTAGGCAGACAGGGTATCCAGGTGGCTCACTTGTTCTCCCCTCATCAGTTGCTTTGTGAGGGCCCCTGTGGGTCAGCCTTGAGAGTGAGGCCAGACAGCTTTGGTCTGGCTGGGTTAGCACTGCCTCCCAGGACTTAGAAGGAGGGCCTAGCGGGCCACTGTGGTATCCATGCAGGGCTCTAATGCTAGGAAAGGCACTGGTGGACATGGCTGGCCCTGCCAGGCGGAGTACTGATGCCTGTGCCACAGGTTTAGATGGGGGTTGCTGGGCCTGACCATTGCCCTCCAGGGTCTTTGTGTCCCCTGGGCCCGGGACCATGCCTCCACTGCTGTGCTGTGAGAGGGTGCAAGGCTGGGAGGTGGGCCCAGCAGTAACGAGCAAAAGCCATCCCAGGTGTCACTGTCCTCAAGTAGTGATTTGTGCCCCACTGCAGGCCCCTCAAAGCCGGTCCTGCCCTGCCTCTTCCAGGCATGCACACATGTTCCCCATGTCCCACAATGCTTGGGGTATGCACACAGTGTCGAGTCCCATTGGAGTAGAGCCCTGGTGTCAGCTTGCTATGTACCACATGCCAGCTTCAGACAGGCCCTGAACCCCCAAAGCCTGGGGTTCTGCCACAGAATGGGAAGACCTCTCATTTGCCTCTTTTGAGGACCTCATGAGGCAATCTGTGACAGGCACTTCCTCAAGGCCTGGGGCAGCCTGACCAGGGTTCCCAACTGGAGAGAGACTCTGAGGTGGCTCTGCACAGAGGCTTCCCCAGCATCTCACAAACCCCTGCACCCCACCCCGGCCCCTTCAGTCAAGGCCTTGATGGGAACTGAATATTTCACAGCTCGGAAGTCACCCCACAACTCAAAAGACCAGTGCTTCCTGCTGATGAGGAGAGGTCTCCAGTGGCAGAAGGGGTTTGTTACCTTGAGTTCATGGGCTAAGACTGTGTTGCTCATACTGTCGGCCCGTAGGCGGAACTCATGCTCCTGCTTCTTCATTTGGGATTCAAATTCCAGCAGCAGTTCCTAAAACAAAATCACCCACACTGAAGGGAAGACAGCAGGGCCCAGCAAAGAACCCCTAACGTGTCAGTAAGCTAGGGCAGGATGCCATGGCTGGCACAGGGCTGCTGTGCACCCTCATGGCGAGGCCAGGGGACACTGACACCAGCAACAGCAGCCACAGGACACTTATCGGGCTGAGGGAGAAAAGACCCCATAGCACCTGAGACCCCTGGTCTGTGAGCAGCAGTGAAGACCCTAGCCAGTGCCAGTGGGCTTCAGGAGGTGGTCACCCTATCATCAGCCAGGCCTCACCCTGCCCTGCTATGCCCAGGTTCACCAGGTGCCACAGCCATGCTGTATGGACTCTCCAGCCACCAGAATCATAACCCAAATAACCCTCGCTTATACACTGACTGGAGTCAGGTGTGTGTCAGAGCAACAGGAAGGACAAGACAGTGTGGCTTTGTCTACTCCCCATAGTGCTGCCTTCCTCAGGGCAAGGGGAAGTCACCTGCAGACAGGGTGAGGACCAATGCTGCAGGCTCACAAGCATGCAGGAACTCTGCAATCCTCCCTTGGAGGCGTCCTCCCCAGGACAGCCCACTTTGCCAGGCTCCCCACCTAAAGGGCCAGAGAGAGCCTCAAAGATCATGGCCATGGCTGCCCGTGCCCCAGTAGGCACCTGTCCTGGCTCTGGCTAACGGGATCCATGAAACACCTGGTGAGGACAGATCACACTCTGCACTTGCAGCTGAGTGTGGGTGGGAGCTTCTCAACATGTAGAACTCACAACAGAAAAGTCACATTTGGCTCTTTTAATTCTTTGAAAGGCATAACTGAGAGGGGTTTAGTGAGTACACTCAAAAAGTGAAAAGCACCAGTTCACTGGCGCTAATGAGAGCAGGAACCACTAGGGGAAAAGCGCTGCAAGCTATGGCCACTAGGGGGCAGGGATGCCGCGCCGCGCTCCACGTCTGCGGGCGCGCTGAGACGCCCGGCAACCCTCACCCCCACCCTGCGATCAAAACTCTACTGGTGCTTTCTTTGTGTGCTGTCCCAGGCTCTCGGCGCAGAAACCTTTCCTGTGAAATCCGCCCTTGCCCAGCACAGGCAGCCCGCTGTCCAGGACCCGCACAGTCTAACTACCCACAGCCCACCCGTCCGTCCCCCGCCATCACCCACACGCGAAACCCCAACACAGCAAGCAGTTGGCGGAAGCAAGCGTGGCCATGAGTGCCTGACCCATTCGTGTTCCGCAGGGTCCCTTTCCCTGGCAGATCCAGCTCAACAGTTCTTGCGGTCCAGGTCTGTCCCCAGGTCTTCCCAGCAGCAAGCTCTGCTGTCCCGGCCCAGTCTGTTATCACCTGAGGGAGCTCCCCCAGAGAAAAACTGGATTCTCGCAGTGGTCTCCGAGGCCCCCTCTAGCATCCCACCTGGAAACCTGTCTCCCCCCAAGGAAGCACCCCCACGCCAGCTCTCACCCGCGTCCTCTTCTCAGGGGACCCTTCTGACCACCCTGTCCTGGCCCTGTCTATTAATGTGTCTCACAGGGAACCCTTCTGTAGGCCAGGGCTAGACCTGATGGTTCTGGTGGAGAGGAAATAGAACTCTCAACCCACCATATGTCAGATTCACTGAGCTTGTGTTCCTGGAAATTGAAAAATGAATTCTAAGGAACAACAGATATTGAGTGTCAAAAATTGAGAATTAGCTCCTGAGAAACAGGAATGGACCCAAAAGTAGGGTGCCAAAGGAAGTTTTACAGAGCAAAATCACAAGGTGGGTACAACCTGGGTCAAAACTATAATCAACCAAGTAAGATACAGCACAGCTGTTTAGGGAATACCAATCAGTAGGGAAGCAGGTCAGATAGCCTTGTACACAGGAAGAACAAGACCTTTTGGGGAAGGGATGGATCTGGAGGGCCCAGCCACCCACTTTGGTGACTGACGTCTAGCTAAACCTATTGGAGTTGGTGATACCAATGACAGTATAATTTCCAAGTTTTTGCTTGGGGAGAGAGAACTCGTAGGCCTGGTTACTCCATGTGTAGCTTGAGCCTAGTCTTTGGCAGATGGGTCTCCGGGCGCAGCTGTGCTGTTTGCATCCCTCTGCACTGACTCCTTCCAGGGCCTTGCCCTGGCAAATTGGCTGGAGTAACATAGTCCAGAGGTCAGCTGTGCCCCTCTATGTCCAGCTGGCTCCATGGGGGGTTAAGTCTACACACCCAATGGTCATTCCTGCTTCCATTATCCTAACAAAGGGAGAAAATAAAGTAACAAAAGCTTAGGAGATGGCCATGTGCTCTTCAGAGTACTGTGCCCCTAAGAGTAGGGCAGCTGGGGAGACTCAGTGGGAGGCACTTAAAGCAGAGGGGTCTGGCCTTTACATTCAGAAATTAAAGGAGTTATTGGCCCCTTCCCTCTCTTCCCTGGTGCTGCTGCTACCGAGACCTGTGTGCAGTCCTTTTCTGTCGTTCTGGCACCTTTCTTTGGTCTGTGTTATACCTTTTGGGCACACACTGGCCCAGAACACTTCCTGTGATCTTCAGTAAATGCAGCTGTGCTGGGCATGGTGGAGCACACCTGTAATCCCAGCACTCGGCAGGCTGAGGCAGGACCATCACTTTGAGTTTGAGGCCAGCCTGAACTAGAAAGTGAGTTAAAGGCCAGCCCTGAACTTCATAGTGAAACCCTGTCTCAAAAAAAAAAAAAAAAGAAATTCATCAGAGGAAGAAAAAAATCAAAACAACACAGTTGCTTACTATTTACTACTGAGTGTATGCTTGGCAATTCTTCCCTTGTAGAGCGCAAGAACTTGAACTACTGTTGGGCCATTCCACCATCACAGTTAATGTCCAACACCAAAGCCCCTGGCATGCAGTTGGTACTCAAAAGTATCTGTTAAATGAATGAATACATCAGTAATCAGTATCTCCCCAGTGGTTTCTGGCCCTGTATGGGAATAGTCCTCCTGAGGTAGAAGAAACAAGACTGGATAGAAAGGAAACCAGGACAGCGAGAATTTAAAAAACCCTGCAGCTTTAGAACACAAGCCCAATGTATTTCCTCCCAAAACCGCACACGGGTCTCACCCAGAAATCCTTCTGCTTTCTCCCGCCTTGAACACACCTGTGGTGGAGATAGTTGTCTCACGCCTTTGTCACGTCCCCCCCCACATGGACGGCCTGCACTGTGACCTGGCAGGGAGACCACACTCCCCAGGGCACCCTGACTGATAACAGCCCTAAAGGTGCCCTACCCCAGCTGTGCACCTCAGTTCGCTGAGTGTGTCCTGCATTCCTCTAATAGATCCTCTTCCTGCCTCTGTTTACTGACATGTCCTGAAAAGTCCACCTCAGGAGGACTATTCCCATACAGGGCCAAAAGCCACTGGAGAGATATTGATTACTGATGTATTCATTCATTTAACAGATACTTTTGAGCACCAACTGCATGCCAGGGGCCTTGGTGTTGGTATGTTTAGCTCACAATTTGTAGAGGTTTCAGCTTATAATCAACTGGGTCCAGGGCCAGGTGGTGTGGCAGAGGGGCAACAGTTCATGGCAGAAGACAGCAAAAGCAACAAAATACACACAAGATAAGCTTCTTTTTTTTTTTTTTTTTTTTTTTAGATAGGGTTTCACTATGTAGTTCAGGCTGGACTTAAATTCACTTTGTAGCCCAAACTGACCTCTAACTCAAAGCGATCCTATGTCTCAGCCTCCCAAGTGCTGGGATTACAGGTGTGTGCCACTATAACCTGGAAGACAACCTCTTTCTGTTTCTTATATTGTATCCAGTCTACTGGAAATAGGGTGGTACCAATCCAGTCAGTGAACTGATCCAGCAATAACCCACCCTCAGTCCCAGCACCCTTAAACCCAGCATTGCACTACAAATCAGTCACACACTTTAGATCCAGCCACCCCCAAAACAATGCTGTGACTAACATGAGGCTTTAGAGAATATCTAAGACACAAACTTTAATGCTATGTCCATAGTCTGCAATTTGATTACATAATAAAAATTAGATTGTTTCAAGAGGAAAATCAGTGAGGCACAGTGATACACATCTATAATCCCAGTTATTCAGGAGGCTGAGGCAGAAGGATCACAAACTCAAGGCCAGCCTGGGCAATTTAGCAAAATCCTGTTTGTTAGGGTTTATATCTTGAAGTCCCTCCAAGCCTCATGGGATCACAGGTGAGCTTCTGAGAGGTGACAGGATGAGGGCACTGTTAGAGCTGACCTGCAGCTGGGAGGTGGGGTTGAATAGGATAATCCCCGGGGGCAGAACCGGGAAGGCCATGTCTCCCTTCAAGGCTCCTACCTTGATTCTCCCTGCTTCTCAGCTGCCAGGACAAAAGCAACTGCTCCTCCGCCAGGCCCCTCTGTTTCACTGTCTCACTTTGAAGCCAGTGGACTGGACCCATAAACCTCCCCTCCTCTAAATTGTGGGGGCCAGGCACTGTCTCCCTGCACTGAACAAAATAACCAAGACAGATTTTGGTACCAGGAGTGGGGTTGTCCCAGTGGGTATCCTTGACCACTATGGTTTAGAAACCTTTGGAACTCTCACTCTTGACAGGAGTTTAGAAAACTCTGATGATGTCAGCTAGAGAAACCCTAGAATGCTGTCATGCAAGCATGATGGGGAATTCTGGTCAGCACTTATTAAAGCAGAATGTTAATTAAAAAAGGCAGATGGTGACAACTAGGTTCAGGTTTCAGTTGAGAAGAGGGCTGAAGGGGAAGCTATGTTGTAGATCATTATGAGATGCTTGGGCAGAAAACTGTCTACGTGAGACCAAGAGCAGCAGAATAACTGGATGGTCCATTGAGGTCATAACTAAGTGTGGTGCTCCAATAACTATTGTCCCAAAGTCAGCTTGTCAGCCTCCTGGGTCAAGAGGGCAGTGGCAGCAAGTGCCCTAATGCATGGAGGCCATCCAGGGGCCACCCACTTTAATTGCTCCAACCAGTATGCCATAGGGTGATTACAGGATCTTATGACCTGAG